AATTTACCGTTTATAAAACATCGCCTCGAACCACCGATAAGCAGTTCTCCAGTTTCACTAACATTAAATTTCGTGCCCAACAACGGTTCACCAATTTCCACACGAGTTTCTCTAAATGCTAAATTATATCCCCTCAATTGTTCTGCTTTTATTTAAGCCAATTCATGGGCTTACATACTTACTTCCAATCGATTTTATGACAAGAAGCCCAGCAAGATACTTCCGTGACTCCGTATACATTATAGAAATTAATGAATTTATGGTCGATTAATACAAAGGAAAACTATAAGAAAATTGTTATGAGCCACTATGAAGGGGTGAAAATTGTGTAATCATGTGGATCAAAGTCTCTTGTCCTACCGTGAGCATAAAACAAAAAGGAGTTTGTGGGAAACGATTGTGCACCCTCTGCTATGTTTGGCTAATTCAGAACATTTGAGTACAATACACATCAATTTGCATATGAAATCTATTATCATAGATCCAGGTAAATATGAACAAAGAAAAATGGATTCAGGACTGGGTCGCTTTACATAGGTAAATTTGCTCTTAGTTTTTTTTTTTTTTTTTTTTTTTCATTTTGCTCTATTTATCATGTACTTATAATCTTACGACTGAACAGTTCGGTTATTTACTTCATTAATGCCAGACATTTAGACCGATATGATATTCTGGAAAGGAACTGAGTGATTTGTTTACTGCATAGTTAGATTGAATGATTAGGATTACTCTGAATGAAATTGAGCTTAAATTTCATTTTTAAATAAGCCGGCAAGCAGAAATGAGCTGAATAAAGTAGAAATGATATGCTAAAATAAGTGTAGGAATATAATATGACTAAGAGAGCATTTTTCGTTATCGTCTTTTTTCCTTTTTTTTCCCCTGCTTTTTTTCCTTCTTTTTTTTCTGCTTCAGATTTGTTAAGGCTTAGTTTTGTTGACAGTAGTTACATTGAAAAAAATTTCCTCTAGAGACTTTGAAACAGCGTTAGGTTGACGTTACTTTCGCAATTAGTTTAAATTATATATTTCGCTTTGAAAACAACCTCATAATCTCACTCTATTTTGAGGGATATAGAAAGATTGGGTAGGAGGGGACAGTTTATCCATTTTCTTCGTATTAAAATCATTTGGCACTTTTTTTCCACAATCATTTCGTTGTTTTATATGTTTCGTTCAATTATTTTCGTTCTTGTAAGTCAGTTCAGTAGTTGATTTGCTTTCTGCATGCTACTGGTAAGAAGTATGTCGACTTATTTCTTATCAAATGATTACCACCTAAAGATTGGGCAATCATTCATCGTGATTTGCTTTCAGCTTCAGTTTTCATCTCTTATTATTAACGATGTGATGTTTTTAACTGCCAGTATATGAACTGGATAGTGGAATATTTGAATCATTTCTCGTTTCATATTGTTTTTAAATGTAACGTTTTTGCGTTTACGAAGAGCTTTGTTAACCGTATTTAAAATCTTTAGATTGAAAAATTTGAAGTTCTGTTAAGTATGCATTTCCGCGAGGAAGTAATTCTTGATGAAGCACAAAAACAAAATTTGGAAAGCCGGACCCCTGAATTAGCCCAGTTGATACTCTACTTGCAGGTATTGCTATGTAAAGTTACAAAAACTGTGCTTTATAAAGCCTTAATAAAAATTGTTATTAGATTTAGTACGCACTCGATTCCAAAGTTTGCCTATAACATCATTTTTTCCCTAAAGTGAAACTAAGCGACAACATCCTCATGCTACTTTATTGTGTTGTTGTGATGAAAAGACCATTATAATGTCTAGCTAATTATTTTTGTAAGCTGATTATTTTACATTCTTTCAGAGTAGGAAAAAGAAATGCACTAAAGTCCCAAATATTAGAATATGGGAGCAGTATATCGACGAAACAATTGATATTCTGGATGAAGTTGTTGGCGTCAAGGTATGTATTTAGACGAATCAAAAACTAATCAGTTCGAACTATTTGACTCGGGATGCTTTTCATCTTTATCCTAAGACGAGTAAAATTTACTTTTTGTTTTTAATAGGTTAAGGCTCCATTTCACAGCTTTAATTTCAAAAATTAGTTCATTTCAGGTTTGCAAAACAAAAACTTCTCAGGGATATCAGTTGTATGTAAAAAACGCTTTAAAAATTCAACACGATACTTCCGATGAGAACCATTGCTATTCAGAGAAAGTATCCGTTTTGCTGTTGTTGTTATGAGTGTTTATGATTTTTAAGCTTTTTCTTAGGCAATTTCAAAAATTACATGGAAATCAGACAAATTGATTTATATATTTTATCATAGGATAGAGCAAAGTATGGATTATTGATTGCGATTCTGATGTTTATTTATATGATGCGTCGTCCTGGTTCTCTTACTTATACCGTTTCCGAGAATTCACTAAAAAGTTTCTTGGTAAAAGTGCTTTTATCAGGAATTTGAAAAATTTTATCTTCATTATTTGAAGTTTTTTAAAATTTAGCAGATTAATTTACGTCCACTACAAAAAGTTTAGTTTGGACTCAAATATAAATATAAAGTCTTGATATTTTTACCTAAGAAAGAAATGGGTATTGTTGAGAACAGTTGTTTTGGGAACCAAGCTGATCTAAACAAATTACTCGGAGCTGCACCTACTGCAGAATTCATTTCACAAGGTGAGACCTCTTTTTGGACAAGTTCTTTTTCATTGATTCAAATCACTTATGTAAAGGTCGATTTGAGAAATTTCAGGATTCGTTTAATCTATATATTAGTTTATTTCTTCTAATTCTATACCAAGTTTTTTTCCATTGTAATAGTTCAGTACGTTTACTTGTTTCAGATAATCTTGATGTGTGAAATGTAACTTTTCATTTAAGGTTGGCTAACTTTCACAAAAGAAACGGACGAAAGTGGTTGCGATATCATAACTTATGATTGGGGACCTCGGGCAAAATCCGTCGTCGACCCAATGGTATATAAATTTTTTAAAAAAAAATTTTCTGCATATAGCAAAGAAATTATAGTCTGAAATAAGCGAGTAAACAAGTAATTGCTGTCTATATTATTTCCCTAGCATGAGATTAAACATTTTCGCATGCTAAGAAAAATTATACGGAAAGTTACTAAAAATACTGCAGAATTCAATATTGTACATAAACAAATGAATTAAAAAAGAGGATAGAAAAGTAAGCGGACGAAATATTTAACTAAGGTGATGTTGTTTGTGGCATACTATCATTAAGTCATTTTGATTCTAAACCTTACCTTCTCCCGTCGCCAATCATTAGAGCAAAAATATCGTGTCTTAAGTGCTAGAACATCAAATCAATTCAGGAAATGATGCTCCAACTTAACCTGCGGATTTGATATCGAATGTTAAAACTTGAGAAGAGACTCAACCCAAACATGTGAAGTTAAACAACTTAAAACTTTAAGAAAAGTGGCTTTTATATTTACTTTAATGAGATTTTGAGTATTACTCGGACAATATTATGCATTTGTTGGCTAATGGGTTTAATAACATTTATAAAGTTAAAAAAATTTGAAAAAATTTCTAGACGATTCTCCGGATATATTGCACCATGGATGGTAGTGTTCCACACCATTGGGGATTGCATTATCAAGAAGCACAAATTGCTGTTGCTCGGAATGGCTGATTGCTCCTTAATAGTTGACAGAAATTTGAGCATGTCGTTTTTTGTAATATTGTATTCATTGGTGTGATGTTTGTATTTGTTTTTTGATTGTTGATATTTGTATAGAATATAGTGGAAGAATGTTTTTTTACAGAAACCAATGGGGTTATATGTCTTTTTGCGTATTCGTAAAGTTATTAATGGAAAATTTAGTCGTAGTACCATTTAACTGTGGGTAACATTTGTTTTCACATTGAGATATTGGGTAGAAGTTTCCTAATGGTGGATAGTTTAAGAATTCCTTAAGTACTGGTTTCTTATGCATTTCCAGGCTTTCATCAGTTAGTCAAGCAAAAGGGCAATGGATAAAACAAGCGGAAGATCCGCATATTCACTTGAGATATCAATGAACTTCTGAACTTAAGATATTAATGGATATAAAGATTTACAATCTTAGTTTTGCTTCCATATGATTTACACGTTTAGTTCTACAGTGAGTAACCTTATTTTCCCTTTCTCTATAGAGGTATAGATAAAAAGAATGAACTTACATTGCCTACTGCTGGTGCTCATTTTTCGGAAATCTTCAATAATCTGACAAATCATCTGCTCCTGTAATTTCATGGTTAATATTTTTATGCAATAAAGACTGGATTTCTTCAAATTAAGCTAGATGTCATACTAATGTTCAGAATTTTTGAAATTATCCTTAGCTCAATTTTCAAATCTCCAAGTATTCTTGAAAGATTGAGAAGATCTGCGAAGCTGTGATCTGTAACAATGTTGAATCCATACACCGTAAAATAACTGAAACTGAAGACTTGAACAGCAACCTGTGCGAAGAAGTTAGTCGCTGTATCAAACGGCAATCGTCTATTCTTTCGTAAATGTTTCTCGATTTCGGGTGTATATTTGTTCATTTCTCTAAGCCAGTTTTGTGCTTGCTCAATGACTCTGTGACGTTTGAGCCAGAAATGACGCTTAATAACGTCCTAAAAAATTGTTTAGCACATTTATTGTTCACAAGATGCAGATTAAAATACATTTGTACTTTGCAGAAAGCAAGTCTTTCAACACATTATCTGAACTGTATAGCGACACATCACAGAGGATTACTTTGTACGCCTGACAAGTAAATTTGGAGACATAAGTTTAATGTGTTATCTCACCTATGGAGACATCAGCACCTTCCAGACGACTAATTCCTCAAGGACTCCCCTTGCATTCCTCAACTTTCCGTTATTTAGAGACCACCTTCAATATTAATATTTTAGCATCTTCAGGAAAGTTACTGAATGCTCAAATCACGCGAAATTGAAATTGCACGGAAAGCTGGAAAAGGGCGAGTCATAAAAGACTTACCTTGAAATACGAAGGGCCATTTCTAACTTGTTCTCTAATTGCGTAAGTTAGTGTTGCATATTCGACCTGAAGATTATAACGTTTTGAATATCCGTCACCTTTCGCAGTTCCTTGATACTTCTCAAAGCCAGGTTCGTTGAAATATGGCTCCTTCACGAGTATTAAACCCTGCAGTCATACTACTTTTTTCTTTAAACAGTTCACGAATAAGTGCAAGATAATGTCATTCATACTACACCCTAACCACATTGTAACGACACGGACTAAGAAATGATTTGTTGAAGTATTTATGGTTATACTGTGATTATATTCTAAAAGTATGAGTTATTTTTGAGAGATCTCTGCCATCCAAACCTGTTAAAGTTCAATATTCATTCTTTCCTCTTACCAGGTGGAATTTTGGAGAGAATCCCGATTGATATTTTAGTTTTGAATTACCTGAATGCTAATAAGCACTTGTAATAGAGAGCAATGTGCGTTCCATTTCTCCTCTGGCCGTCCTTCCCATGTACCTAGTATCGATAAACAAATTTTACCATCATTGTAAAGATTTGGACTAAAGCGCACATCCCCTTCGCCAGTGGTCAGAAAAGCACATTTTGGTGGCGAAAACGGATAGCTGCAAAAATAGAACATGAATGTGATAAATTATAAAATTCAGTCACACTTCAAGGAAATATTCAAGAATTTGCTAGTGTCTTCGACATGTTACTTTTGCTTTAGCAAACATTAGGAGATGCACAACATTAGGAGGTCCTCACTTACTGAGGATTCAGATTTTCCGAATGATTCTAAAATGAGTTTTCGTACCTAATACCGAATGAATTGTACAGCTCACAAATAATTTTATAAAATAATTGCTTTGATTGGACCTTTTCTAATTTCATATATTCTTGATGATGAAAGGTGAGGTTAAGGAGTTGCGAAAAGTGAAGTTATTATTTTCATTCTGATTAGTGAAAAAATACCTTGTTGGAAAGAAAACATCAAATTCAAAGAGGCCATTCTGATAAGGTGTGTCATCTGGTCCCGAGATAAGCACTTTGACAATGTCACATCGTCCTTCATCCAAGCAAACAAATATGCTATTGCTAGCATTCAAAGGTAAGCTGTTTGGCATTGACGCAAGTTCCTTAGCTATAATTTTGATTTCCAGCACAAAGTGGTGAAGTTCAAAGATAAAGTTTCAGGCTAGAGTTCTCCAAATTTGTATCCGACGCAGTTTACCGAAATTCGAATTTGAAGTCTTTTGAAAAAATCAACTAACCAATTCTTTTTGTCCTTTCTTTCAGAGATGATGAGAACGGATTCACGTTACGCACTTCCTTCTTGAATGTAAACGGTACCGTAAGTTTGCCATAATCACCGATAAATCTGAAATAGACGAAATTTTTGGGATAGAAAATTTTTGATTCTTTGATTTAGCTTTATTCTATCTTGAAGCAATATAGCTAACTTTTACTTAAAGTTCAGTATTCAGAGTGCCAGGAAGGAAGCACAGGAAAATTTTTGATCAAATTTCAAACAAACCTGAGTGTTTGCACTTGAATATTTTTCAAAGTTCTATAGTAAAGAATTGATAGATTTTCTTTTTCAGCAGACATCTCTTCATCGCATTTTCCCAACAGCAGTGCTTCATCGTTCTCAATTCTCATTGCTACTGTCCTTACTCGTTCTTCGACCGGAATATCTTGCTCATATCGGTAAGCAGCAGCTATCAGAACCTAAAATTCAGACCTAATCTGTATCGATACCTCCTGAAAGGAAAAAATTCATGAATGCAATCATTGGTAGCATTTGTAACTCAAAATTTTAGGCAGCAGTTCTAATCATTCAACTTATGTCGATCCTGTTGCGCCTTGATGCATACCTTTGAGTACTGTTGTACTTTGGTGATAAAATCGATAAACCTAAAATCCAGTGAACCCATTTGGCCTTTGAAAGAATTGGGATATGAGGCCATTGTGTTCGAGAATCGTATCATTAAATCTTTAGCAATCGAACGAGAACAGTTAACAGGATGCACCAAGTACGGTACCAAAGCCGGCACTACAGACATTGCCGCTGCTGTCTCCAGAAGCGCCTGTAAAGCAATATTGTTTATTGCTTAAAAATTCAGTTTTTAAATTCAATTTTTTTCAGAAATTCAATTTTCGTGAAAATTTGCTTTTCAAAACTTTTCAAAAAGGAAGACTGGAAAGATATACTGTGATTAAAATATATGTTTATCAAATACTACTACTTTGGACGTTAGGATTAGATAATGGTAGTAAGTGAATTGTTTGAAGCGATTCCTTTGCATCGTCGCTGAAAGTATAGGGTAAAATTGTGATAAAAATTATGATAAAAAAGTGGATGTGATACCTGATATAGTTCTGTACGTTCGCTAACGTCGAAAACACTATCATTGTTAAGATGATATTCAAGCAACGGAATGATAGCTGACTCGCTCAGTTCTCGGACAACTGGCTTACTGATATGAACCGGAAATCGATCTATGAAATGCAAATGCTCATTGGTGGAAAAGTCCGGTGACGCGCAGTAGATATATGCTGTTACAGCATTTAGTAGCCAAATGAGATGCTCCTCCCGGATTAGACGCTCTTCTATCTGCATTCAGACAAAAACTGCTATCAAACTTATTAGTTGATAATTTACCTCCTCTATTTTCTATTTTTTTAGTAGCATTTTTGATAAATTCTAAGATTATTGTAAAAATAGTTGGTCAAAAACTAATTACAAAATTAAACATTAAATGGGAAATTTGTTACAAAATTATTCTAAATTTCTTCTCAATTCTTCAAATAACTCAACCGTCCGTTCGATATTCCATCGGCTACGAGTCGAACCATATCCGTAGCCGACACCTTTCTGGATGTGTCCTGTGTAATTGCTTGTCCTTGTAGATGATTGTTGTCCTCTCCTTCTTTCACTGTGAACAAATTCTGACCTGAAGCTATTTTTGTGAAATATCAACTTTTCAGAATGTAACTTTTTGGCGAAAATGAAATTTTAGCTCATTTGATTAAAAGCGCTTTTCCTAGTTTTCTAGTGCCACGTAATAAGCAAAAATATAATTATTGACTGACAATTGTTTGTGTTTTATTTTTTTAATAGCAATATGTGCTCATTTCAACCTAAGCATATACACTTTCATTATCTATGATTAGGGTAATTTGTTTTCGGATCACTTGCTGTATTTGGAGGAGATTGACCTTTTCATGGTTTTTAAAAAAGCAATCAAATTTTCCACCCTTTTAACAATTGAAAATAATATTTGAAAAGTAGCAAGAAACAAAATATTTATTATTAATATTTTGCTAATAACATTATTCTGTTTTTATGGATATGCCATAAAATGGTCAACCTAATCGATCACTTTCTGTTATCCATAAATTATCCAGAATTCCTCAAAATATTATTTCCGAATGCAACCTGTTTTGTTTATTAATGCCGCCACATTCGGCTATCTTTTCGCATATTCGTCTAAGGACACCAGCTTGAAATAATTGTAATTTTTCTTCTGAACTGCAATCACTTATAATCCTAAAAATGTTCATATGAACATTCTGACAACTTGAACTAAAAATAAGCATGACTAATTTTTGAGCACAAAAAATTGCAAAATATGAAAACTGATCGCAAAAGATACATTATGCTGTTTAGGCATTGAACAAATGACTAATTTACTAATGACAAATTATATCGATTTTGTTCATAAGAAGTACTACTACCTGGTCATGTGTAGCATATTGGTCATTCGTAGTGGTTTCTGAGCAAGCGTAAGTAAAAGGCGTTCCGAGATTGTTGAAGCACCTTCTGGTTCAGGGCTTGGCGGTAATGACACCATTGTACCCATCACAACATGCTTATGAATATTAAATTAATTATATAGTTGAATATGAACAATATAAACAAATAAGCATATTATGCAAAAAAAAAAAAAACAGTTCAAATTTGGTTTGATAAGATTTCAATGATGCATTTAATGGTCAGAGATGGAATGTTGAACCGTTCATTTCAAGTGCAGTCAGAATTTTTCTTAACTTTTATCTAACTCTTAGCTTTAATCTAGCAGTACTATACGCTATGATTTTTTCATAAAACAGACTTTACCAAGCTCTATGTTTGAAATGCTAATCGAAAATTAAATTTTTTTCTTTGCAAACAAAAAAAGCTTACAAAGAGCAGGGTGTTATAGAGGCTTATTAGCTTTGTAAAAGGAGGAAAGAGAAGAAAGCAGTTGAAAATGGATTTTTTCCTAGATGAGTGGATGTAAACATTCTAAACTATGGATATAAAAATTATAAACAAGGCTTTCAAACCTGTAATGCTTGTTCGACATGAGGAGAACGAAAAGTGTAAGATGAGATCTTCTGGGTCTAAGTCTAAGCAGACCTAACTAGCTAGTATGTAATTATTATAATATGCTATAACTAAGAAGCAGAAAAGCACTACTTGTATAATAAACACATCAAAACCTAATGGACTCGTCATCAAATCTATTTTAGTTTTTATGAAATCAAAAATATGTCTGAAATTTAATTGTCTGCTAAAGCATAAATAAAGCCAATGTGAACTTAAGTCTGAACTTCCACTTCTCATAGGTATTAAATTCTATCTTAAATTAATTCCATCTAATCGAGGAAGGAGGGATAAAGATTTCATTATAGTAAGTATGTTTTTCTTTTCTTTAAATTCTGAACATAAACCAAGTAAGATTGAATAAGAAAAGTAGGTAGTGACTTAGTCTGCATCGATGCAGTTCCGATACAAATTTCTACATGAAATCAGTTGTTAGATCAATTTAATTAACCGACATTAGTTCGGCCTAAAAGTTTGTACTGCCTAACCACCATTACCTATTTCGGTTTTTTTAAAAAAGTATGCGTGCACGATATCATTATTATTGATACTGTCCCGAGAAGTTACATTTTTGCTTCGGCTTAATAAAGATTGAGGAGATCTCGATTCATTGTATATAATCGCATAATCAGAATATGCCTTATTTTGTTGTCGGATACGCTATGAGTTATTCTGCTTCCCAACGGTGATAGATCGATAAGTTCATTAGGTCACTAAAGCTTAGCTCAAAAAAAACATTTCCAACTTCCGGCACAAATAAATTCCTTTTAAAGTTGCTATTTGCGTTGGGAAATAAATTCGGGGTTTAAAGCCGTGATGTAAATTATTCTTGAATGATTAAATTTATCATGTCATCTCACATGATTTGAATTAAATTATAGTTGATCAAAACTTGAATGATTAAAGAAAATCTGTCTGTTCTTCGATGACAAATAATGAACGAAACTCATTGGAGAAAAGCAATTATTATCGTTTTTCTTTCATGCCATATCTTATTATTATTCTTCTCTAAAAAAACTTTAAAAATTTGTAACATATTTGGCAGAATTTCACTGAGCTTAATTTGACATAGTTTTCAATTCATTCAACTCATTAGAAGCATGAATGTAATGGAAAAGAACGTTGACTTCTGTTCTAAATATAACCATGAATCCCTAAATGATCTAACTCATTTTATGAATTCTTCTGGATTTCTGGTTCCAATCTCATGATTACTGCCAGTTGCACTTGTTTCCTATTGGTTATGCTAACGTGCTGACTAAATATGTCTTTATTTCAGTTATTATATATCAGGAATCTGTGCTTTCGCCGTTAACATTGCATAAGAATTTGCTCATTCAACGGAAGGAGCACTGCATGGAATGTCTGAATAGAGTTTGGTTAGAAGTTCATTTTCAACAATTTATACTTGAAATAGTCAACAGTGCATAATATAACGTAACAATCATCGCAATTAACAAAATGGAAAAAGAAGACAGCAATGAAGAGGATGGGATAAAAGGATTTCTCTGAAGTAAATGAGAAAAATTGATTATTATTATTATCATCATCATCATCATCATCAGTAATACAATAAACAAATGGATAATTGCGACTATTGGCAGTAGCATGTCATAATGAAGTAACGAACGAAGTGGCAGTGATGCTAAGATTGCAGAAAAAAGGCGTTGGGTAAGAAAGGCTTTATTACTTCACTAATGAATTCAACCAGTTATCAGTTGAGGATTTGAAATATACATACTTACTCCATCCTGACTTCATTTTTGCAGAATTAAACTAAAATCATAAAGTATAAAATTATTCTACTAAATAGTTAAAAAAAACTCTGTGTAATGATACTCGAACAATCAGTACGCTCATCATTTTCATTTTCAATCTATAGACTATTCATTTAGAAGAGATCGATGTAAAAGTATTGGATAGATTCAGATATGTCACTAAAAAAAGAAAGGAATGCTACTAAAATTATTTTCATTTGGAATTTATCAAATGAAAAATAAAAATTCATTTTACTAAAGTCCAGCAGTTTTGATCTTAAAAAAACTTAGGCTTGTTTGATTTCATTCTTTCGTTCTGTTGACTGATATATTAGCTGTTGTGAGGATTTAAAGACATATAAAATTTGCTAACATAATGTACTCAAGAAAAGACATACAACAAATACTGAGGTAATCCTTACTAAAAGATAAACAATTAAGCAAGTGATCACATTTGACATTTTAAACTTGAAATGGCAAATCAAGTGAATGATGCAAAAGATTTGCAATTAGGGAACTAATCTTCTTCAAGAAAATTAAAGAAATTAAAATTTTAAAAATTATCGGCTTAGAAAATTTTTACAAGTCTATCAGTGCAATCAATTTATATTTTGGAGTAATATTTCTCATCGGTTATTGAGATTTTATTACTATATTCATGTCACGGTTCTCATTACTACCACTTTTGTTATCACCGTTATCATCAATATCATTATAATCAATATGATATTAAAGATATTGCTATTCCTATCATTGTTACTACAAATGAAAGAGATCGTCAAAGCGGTGTCGTTGATAGGATATGATCTCACTGTTTTAAGAGCACAAATTTTTACAAAGTCAGTTTGATTATCCTTTCCCTAATGATAGAAAATAAATTAGTCTAAAACAAGGTTTATAAGTAAGAGATAGAAGAAAATTATGAAAAATAAATTATGATCAAACGTATTCAAATTTAAAGGATCAAATACAGAGAGATGATAAGATATGAATGGATTGCTAAAAAAGCTTTAAGGAGCGCACAATGTCGAGCGATAAACATCAGTGATCAATGTCGATAAGCAAATGTAAGATCTCCTGATAAAAATGTAGCGAACATATAACTCGCAACCTCAGGAATAACTCTTAGTAAAAAGACAAATGTCTAATAAATAAGTGTGAAGGAGAGAATAAATAGTGCTTTTAATGGAAAAATAAAATATCATGCAGAAAAGAATTCGCTCGGCAAATGTCAGCAACAGAAGAAGCACTTCTCTTCTCCAACTTTGTTTGGAAATTAAAGTAGAAACAAGTAAAGGATCACTTCTGAACCGAAAACAAAAATTCACGTTAATCATTAGTTAAATTTGGATATGCCCTCTACTTATTTACAGTGGTTTTGATGAGCAATTCTCATACCATGAAATAAATAATCATCAAATTTCCTTCTGAGTTAATCAATCATTTGAGGAAAAATAAATGAATAACGAGTAAGTCAAACAAACGCACGTGCATGCATAGGATGCCAAGCAAGTCACATGCTCGCGAGGTGTTGCTAACAACCTGAACATGCATTAATTTATCCTCAGCATCGTTGTAAATTGCATATTTCTCGTTCATATTCATTTCCAGAACATTTCCTAGTTGTACCGTAGCATTTACGTACCCGCTTTCGGACACCTCTACCGCATGTTTCAGAACACGGCGACCAATAACCCCAGCCTAAAAGCTCACATTTGGTGCCACTGAGTTCGGGTTAGTTCTGGTTTTGAGAAGAGCTTCAGTCGTCACTTTACAACTGCTATCATAAATTTCTAAAGATCCTCAAGGTCAATCTTTTCCGTTATTTCTTGAAACATAAGGCTGTAAATAAGCGAAAGATGCTAATCTTTGTTTATAAGGATATAAGTCATGCTTGGACATGAAATATAGCAGATGACGTCAAAAAAGATTGAAATTTGAAATCATCTGAAGAATGCACGCAGGATTTTTGAAAAGGAGGGAAAAGTCTGAAGAGGAATAGAGATCACTAAAGGAAAATTTGCAACAGTGCAGGATCATATTCAGCAGTTCTTGACAAGGAACCATTGTTGAATAACCAAAAGCGGCGAAGATTTCGCTTTCCAAAGTTTGCATCAATCTGACCCGTAGAAGTGAAAAGATAATTGGTAGCTGGTGGAATTCTCGTTGTTATAACAGATTTCTGAGTGGTAATTGGAGTTCTACCATATGAGACTTCAGCCAAAACGATAGTATCAGTGGAATAGTACTTACCTCCCCAAGAAGTAGTGGTTCCAGAAAGAAATGACTTGCAATGTTTGATCATGCATGGCATTGAATCTTTGGATGGACCATTGCATGTCCCATGTTGACACAATCGGGTACGCCTTTTAAAACCTCCACCACAAGTCGTACTACAAGTACCCCAATCAGACCATCCGGACCACTGACCAACTGCCATAGTTCCATTTGCCTTACATAGATTTTCGTTGCAGTTCTGCCGTTCCAGACTACTTCCAGAACAATCGTTTGCAGCTGAACACTTTCTAAAAACAGTCACAACCATCATTTGAATCCAGCAGAGAAGCGTAACTTAAAGTGGAAGGCGACAAATTACTAAATAAATAAATAAATAAATAAATTATCTCCCTATAAATAAATAAATTAAAGCTCCTGAAATTCATGTCTCATTTTACAAATTGGCTTTTTAATATAGCGACTAAATTTTATACATCATGTAACACAAATTGCTTATAGTGCAATACCATAATCAACCTGTAACTGTAATTGCCAGTTACCTCTTCCGCGTGCGTACACCTTTTCCACAGGTCTGGGAGCACTGTGACCAGGCTTCCCACTGCAACCATCGGACGCTAATTTCACAAGGACCCAAATTACATGACATCCTTGATTGTCCCGAACCATCGCATGGTTCCTGTTATTGAGAAAGCTATTTTTCAATATTTAATCCAATGACAAGATTCTTTACAAATCAAAAGATAATTCATTCAAACATCATTAATGTTCGACTTTGAAAGTTATTCTATTGGTGACTATTAAAATTAAAAAGAAAATCAGGTAGTGAAACTGCTTTGTATTTTTAGTTTAGTTCTATGCTTACTTTGGTACAGTAACGATTTCGACTCCGTATTCCCGGTCCACAGCTAACCGAACATTGCGACCATTCGGTCCAGCTACCCCATAAACCAACTGTAGCTGTATTGCATGCACCCATATTACACTGCCGTGTTTCCATCGAATTCTCTGAATCATTACTGCGAATGAGTATATCTTCAGTAATAACGATATCTATGATATTCATTCATTTCTAAATGAGCTAACCTTTCATGATATGCTAACTTCCTGGATGGAAACTCTAATATATGAACAGTACCAATGCAATATCTTGATGATATTATGATGATTTCAAAGAAGAAAAACTTTTTACCTGGACATGAGAAGAAAAGTGAATTGTGTGACGCACTGGAGCACCGTCGATACCGTGCTTGTGATCCGATACCACATGAAACGGAGCATTGGTTCCAAGAAGTCCATTCACTCCAGCTACCTTCTTGACCCGACGCTGTATTGGTACCACAAGCTGATAAACTGCATTGACTTTTCTCAGATGATGCACCTGAGCACTCATTTTTTCCACCACTGCATGATCGAATCCTGTAATCTCCAATATATAACATCCAAACTGTTGAAACCTTGAAGTTTTCATCATTTATGTGATATGAATCTTAATAACTAATGATAACAAAGAAAGTTGGCGATAATCTTGGGAATTGTTCTAAGAGATTTGAGAAATTCCATCATCACTATCATTTTATAAGTCAATAAAAAATAGCTTATCAAACAAACAGAAAAAACATGGAAATAGAATAGACATAGTGCCAGTTTACTAAAAATGTTAGCATGATTGTTTTTTTTTTTTCTTTGCATTGGGCTCATTCTTTGTAGTGTATCCACATAAATCAATAATATAATCTCTTCCATCATATGATCTTAAACCTGATCCTTAATATTTCAAGAATCTGCTGCCTAATATAGTTGAGGATTTGATAAAAAGCTTGATAAATTTAAGATTTAAATTTGTGTGAAGATTTCGTCATGTTAAATGTGATGAAAAGGGATTAATACAGCTGAATTTACGACAAAATAAAAGTTTTGTTCTCCAATAAAATTACCGCTTCCTGTAGCCCGTACCACATGTCTGTGAGCAGAATGACCATGTTGACCAGGATGACCACCGAGCTCCAGCAGCAGTTGATAATGTATTAGTCATTACAGTTCCCTGAGGGCATCGTTCATTAGCGCTAGGACATGATATGTCACGTGTGATTAATGCACTGCTATCACAAGACAATGGCTGCAAATAAAATGTATTTTTTAAATCAGTTCATTTCGAAGTGATCTCCACCACATCATATCGTCTTATCTGCGATCAATGTTGAGTAATTTGAAAAACTAACAAGACATTCGCCATCCAGGCAATATTTATTGGTGCCACATGGAGCACCGTCGGGAAGAATATCACCAAAAAATCGATAGTTTCTTTGGGATCCATATCGACTTATCACATCACAAAAGATCTAAATTGGCAAACAAACTACGACAGTTCAAACTAATCCAGTGCTATTTGATGTAATTTTCAGTGAAATAAATTGATAATTCTACTCTTCACTGTCATGTCACTGTTTAAAACTATTGACTAAAATGCTCGCCTAATGTTTCAGTGCTGCCACTCCGACCTTTTGCGCAGAGATACATTTTACACGGAGCAAATTCTCAAATCTGAAACGTTTCGACGTCAGCTTTAATTGTTAGCAATAAACTTTGCTTGAAGTTCGGTCATCAGTGTTATGCGTCACATGCTAACTTCAAATCTGTGCTGTAGGAAAAAGCTTTGTTACGATCCTTTTCGAAGCAAAATTAGAATTATTAAATATTCAAATTGCGTAAAATGGAAACCTTGCATGCACGTTGAGGGTAACGAATCAATTGAGTGCCGTTCCCGGTTAAATCAGGATCATTTTTTAGTCTTTTCTGCTCCGTGCAGTGTTCTTTAATATGCTGAAAAAGACGTATCAAATGAAGGAAGCTGGTATTAGGTTTATTCTAGAAAAATTCGCAACTTTACCGCCGTATCAGAAAGAGAAGAAATTTACGCATGTATCTTCTTTCATGAAGTGCATTCTTCGCTCTACTTATCTGTTTTTCGCAACTACTCGTCATCTCACAAATTTACCTTATCAACTGATTTGCTGGACGAAGCGCACCGGCGGTTGCATACAACCGCACGCAGTGTTGACCCAACGCACTCTGCACCACCATTTGTGGGTGGTGGATTGCTGCAGGTCCGAGTACTTGTAGAAATACCTATGCTGCCAGCTACATCAGCGCAGTTGCACGATTGACAAGAAATTTCAGACCAGTCGGACCACTGCCCATCGATACGCTGCAATATCAAAATATTTCAAACTGATAAATGATATCAGATCGGGTTTAAAGTTTTAGGAAAGGCTAATTTCAATACAATAAGATTTTTTTCAAAATTGGCGAAAGTTGAATGTACCCTAATATTGAAATAATGGAAATTCTGGAACAAGAAGATAACCTAGCCTGTTATTACGTCTCAAGCCTAGGCTATCAGTGAAGCTATCCAAATAATTAAATAAGCTATAAATTCGAGCAAGGATTTATGAATTAAGCACATGAATATCTTTTCACTTCTGTCTGTTCTAAAAAAAGGCCTAAGCAACCTTGGGTGTTGCAGAAGGGCCAATTCTAGACCATGGCACACATCGACCAAGTTCACACCATTTCGATGAACCACAAAAAGTTCCCTCAAGAGCTGGATGAGAAGTAATTATTCGGCCGAATGATGACTGTCCGCACCACATCATATAGCATATACCGTCGTAATGGTCCTGTCGTGGAGTAATCTAGAGAAGATTGTGGTGTTTGCAGAATCCGAACATGAAGGATTTGCTTAAAACAGACTACATTTATCCAGAAAATTTAACTATTTAACAGAAGTCTTTTAACAAGCAGACGTAACATTCGTCGATTTTCTGTGTGTCGGAAATGTGAGCTCCACAATTACAATTTTTTTATGTGCAAGCATTTAAACCATTTCGTAAAATCCCTTTTATGGAATGTTTAATTTACTATTTCTCGTGAAATTTATTCATTCACAACTCCTCGCTTTCATTCCAAGCGAAATTTTTTCATCTGTTTTTGTTCTTTCACGTAATAGCAGCTTAATCTCTCTAAATAATTATTTAACCGAATGAATGATTCATTAAATCTTTTTAATTATTGCTCTCCGATTAATAGTTTAAAATGAAAAAACTCAAGAATTAGTTATATCACTACTTTTTCCAACGACAAAAAAGTTCCTTAGAAGCCAAGGCAGTTATCATTAAAGATAGCACCTATTGATTTCCTTCCATACCTCTTTTTAACGAATTTTATTTTAAACGTAATTTATCGTATTAATCTAGGAAGTTTGTGCTAAAATAGTTTTTCACAATATTTCTACGACATAGAGCGGAAGAAACCAATAGAAAACAGATAGTGATGGTGTAATTATTCTCGAGGAAATCTGGAAAGATGAAAAGAAGTGGAAACGAGTGTAATAAAAGTTTACTCGTATGGAAGAAGGTACGAATCTGCAGTATTTCTTCACCTTCTTTCTCAAATATAAGAATAGTTGTTCAAGAAAATATGCATAATCAATGATTTCGAGAGAAGAAAAAACTGACATTAATCCTATTGATAGTTAAATTTAATATTCTCTACAAAATCAACCAATTTTGCTTCCTTTCAATTGCAGAGAACGGTAAATATATTGAAGGAAGAGTTATCATGCAAGATGAAATTTTGTTGAAAAAAAATGATCAGTGAGAGGATGCTACCGGATACCATTGGAGTGACACACCTCTTCGGTGATTTTTTATATCAGGAATAAGATCAAAGGTCAGGTAAGAAAGAAAAAGCTGTTTGATTGAATGTTTGTAATTGATG